GTCTCAAATGCCACGGTCCGTTTCTCCCAAGTGCCCGTCTTATCTTCCCGAGTATCAACTCCGCAGTGATTCTGAATCATTCCGATGCTTTCCAACGTTGCAAAACTGTTAGACGAATATTTGCACAGAAGTATACACTGTTTGCAGAACTATCTACAGCGATAAAAATTCAAAAGTGCTGTGTTGGATTCGGGAACTGGTGTAGGTTTAGCTAATGAACTTTCCAGAAACGATAGTAGTTGTCGGGGTTCCAAGCGACTGGACAGGTCGCATTTATTGGTTCATTAAAAATTGTATTTTATAATCACAATCGTAACATCAAGGGCACGCCATTTTCTCATCACTTCTTCTACGAACAGAGTAGCTGTATTCGTAGCACACACAGACGGAAACGGTTGAGACTGTGCCCAAATAATATCTTCTTTTGGCAGGTACTGCGCAGCGATTACACACAATGCCTCTAACATAGACATGCTGCTCCACATGTCTATTCACAAGATGCAATACATCGTTCTCCCAACTTTGTTGAAATGGGCATGAAAGCGCGTAACCGTCACTTTTTTGAAGTTCGACTTAGAGGTGAAGTGTTTACCGTAAAAAGTCGTTAATTATTTATTTTTTTCCGTTCCATTACAAAGCTCGATTCACTTAAATTTTTGTTTTTATATCGTCTCTACAGCACTTTTACGTCGGTACTTTCGTGTTAGAGGACATCACATAATGTGCGAAAAAAAAACAACAAAAAAAACGGTAGGATCGATGCTGCATAGCCTTTTTTTTTGTGGACATCAAGAAAAAAAAAAAGATAGTAGTTGTCTTCACTTCGCACTGCATGTTTTAGCACGGAAGTTCCTATTTGGTTATGATGTCTTTATTTTCTTAAAAATTGTATACAGTAATTTAAATTACCGAATTACAAAAACGTAGAAATTGTATAATTGCTTTTCGTTGGGACGCCATGACGACAGCGACACTCGTGTTCCCTCGTGGTTTTCGCCAGCATTTCTACGATGAATTGCCAGGATCGCGAGATGCAGCAGCGTGACACTCCGTCTTCTGTGACGTCATTTGTTGCACTTCGGGACCACTTTTGATGTATGGCCAGCATAAGACGCTAAAAACACCAGTCGGAGACGCGCTGCAGGCGCCATAGTAGTGCTCCTAAAAGTAGCTGTCACGTGCCTTGCTCCGCGACTGTGATTCCCTCACAGCAGCTCTGACTGAGGGTTGCCAAATTACGGTGAAACGGAGTATAGACAAAACAGACCGGAAACGAGCTGCCAGCATACGATAGTCAAACTCCAACAAAAAGGATTAGTTTCTTCCCAAGCTGGACGACATTTACCGGGCATCTTTGGAGCTGCGAAGCTCAAAATCACGCGTACTCATAAGATTTTTTTTTCTCGCGTGTTTGTGATTTTTATGATGTCCTGCAAGCAAGAAAAAAATATATATGGTGAAGTCACTCCGAGTCACGAACATGAAGGATTCGCTAACATCCGTCAGGAGTGTGAACGGTAAATCGTCACGCAAACATATTCTCACAAGCTGCAAATATTTATTTGGCTTAGCAAGTAGAATACTAGTATACTAACGACATGTGATTATTGTACACAAGATACCATTTCTCGGTTCTTCAAACCCATTTCCCTAGTCTGAACGGTCGCGCTACGGACCGCGGCTAGCCGTGCCCTCGATAGACTACGTAGCTGCGTTGTGTCGTCTGCTACTGTACCGCCAACAGGAGAGCGATAGCTCTGTGTGCTCCACAGATGCGTGTTGCGGTATAACTCTGTACGTCTGTCCTAGAGGAAGACAAAAAGATAGGCTCTGTGACCCCCTCCTAAGCTAACAAAAACAAACAGAAGTATACTCGTTTGGACTGAAAGGTTTACAAAATAGTGACCAGACATTGGAAATGCATATGTCACAGAACTTGGTTTATGAAATGGCATCATTGTTTCGAGCAAGAAATCACCTGCTCACCACTGGGACGATGAAATCGTCACTATTTATTGCGTCAGGTATATTTTCGCTCATGAAGAAAAATCTGAACACATCCTTCTCCCAAAGTCCTATGTCGAATAATAAACACTTTTTTAAACATCTATGCACAAATAACTCATTTTTTTTCTACACTTGTATATACACGTTAATTAAACGAAGTCAAACCACATTTTTGATTAGATCTTGATGTCTACACCAACTACATTCATATTTTTTAGGGCTTTATTGAACGATAACTTCAACTATAGTTAATGGAACACGATGGCTTGATCTCAACAAAAACCTCAACGTGCGAAGCTTCCACAAACGGTCGCTTGCGAGTATTCTCAATGTGAGACTTCAGAAGCTTTCGCTTGCCATAGGGAGCTTGCTTTCGACTACAGCACTGCACGGGCCCGAAAAGCGCGGAGCGCGCTGCTGTGGGGAGAAGTTGACTTACAAGATGACGTGTTACGTGGTCACGTAAGATGGCGTCATTTCGTGCAGCGTGATCACGTAAGATGACGTCATTTCGTGTAACGAGATCATGTAAGGTGACGTGTTTGTGTCACGTGATCACGTAAGATGACGTCAGTTCGTATGAACTGACGTCATCTTACGACAACGCCAACAACATTAGTGCCGTCCGGAACCATTGACCTTAGAAACGCGCCTCTTCGCTTGAAGAGCTGATATGCGTTGATTGTTATTTGTTTCTTTTGCCTACTACAGACCATTCAAAAACTCGCCTTCTGAGTGCCACCAACTTCGTCTACTGGGCTGTGAAGCGCGTTCGAGCGTGCGCAATACCTCTCTAGGCCGAAAGATTGTACACTGAGTATGCGTTCACAGCTCAATGACTTAGGCATTTTTCGTCAGGATAGATGCTCCCACGAGAAGAGCGTAATGGATATGTGAATAGAATTGGAAATTTGAAATGTTCTTGTCCAATCGCATTTTTCTTTGGTTATCAACGCTTTTTAGCGTCATCACAAGACGTTCAACCCATAATACACTGGTGATTAAAAAATAAGCACCGAAAAACATGCACCGATTTTCGCTCAAAAATAAACACCGGAAAAAACATACCGTAATCATTACCCATGTCACCTTTTGGGTGATATGTGAATTTCCAGAAGAACAGCGAGTTATCACCCTCCCCTAGGAATACCCTGACTACAGAGCAGGCGACCCGTTTTTCCCCGCGTTAGATTGCGGTGACCACGAACCGTACGGAGGTCACAGGACGTCCGTGAAAAATAAAAAGGAGGCAAACAACGATCTACTCTGTGCACGCTTCATCCCCGATTTCCACGACCCCAAGGCCGAAGGACGTTTGTGTGAAGGATAACAATAAAATAAAACTTTGCGTCAAAAAAAAAAAAAAAAAAAAAAAAAAGAAATAAAAAGCCGTTTTTAAAAGAAAAAAAAAAGTAGAAACAAGCACAACGCGTTGACGGACCGCGAGGTTGTGGAACACCTCGCGGTCCGCTTGCCACAGGACGGTTGTCTTCGACCCATAGCTCCAAGGTGAATTTGCCACTTGCGAAAACACGGAGACCTACCCAGCGAGAACCAGGAAAGCAAGACACGCACACTGACGCCTCGGCGTCCAGAATGAAACAGGATACGGGCGCGGAATACGGCCGCGGAAGAACACCTCGCACATTGCCGATCCGGCTGACCTCCGAACGGACGATTTCGCATTTCGTGGACAGCGAGCGCCACCGCACGGGAGAGAGAGGTACCTTAAAAACGACGAAAACAAGCACCGACACCTTGGTTCTTTATATTTGCTGTAGTTACGGAACAAATCGACTTACATGAATAATTTGAATATTATTCAATTCCGTAATAAATTTAGAAGACATTAAGCGCAATACTTCTTATGTTTGAATTTAGATAATTTTGTAAATTCGCTCCGAACGCAAGAGTGCCGAATTAACCGATTTTGACTATTTTCATGATTTTTTAAAGAATATAATTAAATTTATGATGAAACATTTGTTACGCTTAGTGTCTCGATAATGACTCAACGTCTTTAAAGCCGAAATTTTCAAGAAGATCCGCGCAGCCGTTATTATATGAGAATTTTTTTAATTTGGTGAAAAACCTCATGTATTCTCTATGGGGCTCTGAGGTGCGCCCCCTCTTAAAAGGGGAAGTAATAGCCGGCCTTGGAACACCCCCGTAATATCTTTCTCTTTCAAAGTTACTGAAGCAAGGACTTCAATACTAGTTTTCAGTTTTTAAGTCTAGCATTTGTAAGGTTAAAATTTTAATGTTAAGATTTCATTGGAAAAAAAAAAAAGGACCTATCTGAACAGGGGGAAACACCAGTCCCGTCCCGTCCGTCGTCTCCCCCCCCCCCCCCCCCCCCCCCCCCCCCAAATGAGGGTTCCCATAAAAACTTAAATAAACTCGGACATCATAACTAGGGTTTAGTGTTTTCGGGGTTTATTAATGCAAAAGTATTAACTACCCCATGGAGCGGAGCCGGCGGCATCTGAAACCACAAAACAAACGCGAAATAAATGCCCATCCTCCCATTGACTGAGCAAAACGGCTCCTAGATAACCATTGGCGACCGCTTCACGAGAGCGCGTGCTTGGCCGCCGGCTGCAACCTCGACAGTAGCAAAACGTGGCCGTCCACGCGGGGCTTATGTTGAAGAAAGATTACAGGATTCCTCAACCTCCAGGGAGCAGAATACTTGGAAAACGTCCCAGTATCGATAAGAGAAGGAAACGAGATAAGATTTGTGATTTCCGTAAAAAAAGCAACCTCGATGACTGCTCAGTGCGGATTGTGTTCCAGGTCAACACAAAACATAGCTGCACATAAAACTTTTTTCCATAAACCTCACATATTTCTTATCAGGGTTTTTCGGTTTTCCCAGACTCTGATAAAAACCGACTTGGGGTTAATTATCGGGGCTTATTGGTATTTACCGAAAACACGGAACCCTAGTCGTAACTAAGAGTCAAGAAAGTTGTAATGCAAGCCATACATACCCAAGCCTTCTTCTATTTTACGGTTGCGAGATGCTAACCAGTCAGCCAGGTTGCCAGAGCACAGCTCCATTTGAATGAACAATACACCTTTCACATTCTGCAACAAGAGATCCAAGTTGAGTTGACCTTGCTTTGTTCCCACAAAATAAAAATAAAGCTAACAAAATAGAAATTTTCACTTAAGGATCTTATCCAAGCCCCTCAAAAAGCCTAGTCTACGTAACATTGGCAGGTATCTTGCAACTTTGCTTTAAGCAACACTTTGTACGGCCCCGGATATGGGGGTTTCTAAGCCAATGCCTCAGAAAATGTTGTCTGTTATTATATTGGGTCGTCAAGATAAATCCGGACTTTTTCTAGGTTTCGTCTCTTAACAATACAGTGAAGCTAACCGGCCGTATTGCGCTTCTGAGGCCACGTGATTTGACACCGGACTATTACATAAACAATTCACGACTTGCTCAAAAATGAGCAGGGAGTATGACCGGAGGGCAGCAACACTTGAATCGCTTAGCGCCGGAAAGTCACCTAAGCCAAACATTGGGTGGTATGGCTACAAGAAGTCACAAGTTCATAGCATTGCCAAGACGTTCAGATAATGTCGGCCAGGAAGACGTTACGGCAGACCAAGCAAAGCACAGAAAACGGTTGATATTCATTTGATCTTTTTCTCTGTGTTTACCTGAATATGGTGAATTTTTTTTGTTATCTCGACGACCCTGTACTTTCTATCCTAGAATCCACATCCCTATAGAGCGCAACAAATACTTGCCGAAGCATTTAGCAGCTGGAAAGCATGTTCCCTCGCCGTTTCAATCCTGCGTTCTCCCGATTCATCACTCGACGTTTTCCTTCTCGAATACTTGAATGTGTCGGTCATGCTCTTTCTGATTTCACTGTCACTCCTAGAACTGTGCCGGACACGCATATGGAATTCTGTCCTTGAAAAAAGTGAATCACCACTAGCGAAAACAATGTTCGCATCAGAAGGCTCTTGGAGTGAAGCACACCGGCCTTCCTGGTCTCCGTTATTGACACAATTACTGTCGTCGCTTTCAGTGAAAAAACTAGTTGAGCGCTGCAGCGAGGGCCTTGGCATGCCCGAGCTCTTCTTCGACGCCTGCTGGGAGGAGCAATGGCAACTAGGGCTCGTGGTGTTCCCATAAGTGTGCGACGTCGATGATAAGGGTATGGTACTGTAAGGAAATAAAGCAACCGTAAAAGATCACCAGAAAAAGTTCTGAATCTCATGTGTAGCACTTACCACCAAATTCACAAACCTCACTCCATTTGAGGGGCCCCTCCACTTCCTCAAGGAAGGCACAAAGGCTGCCTATTTGTTGTCGCGATCGGCCCCCGCCCCCCCCCCCCCATTGCCGGCCCTGGCGCCTTCCTTGGTGAAGTGGAGGGGCGCCTCAATTGGAGTGAGGTTTGTGAATTCGGCGGTTAGTAAAGAATGCACCCAGTATTTGACGACAAACTGTGATGTTAATGTGACCTAGTAAAGCTGTCGGAAAAAGATAAAAACTCATTTTCAAACAGGATTCAATTCCTAATCGTGTCAAGAACGGAAGAAATCTAGTCAAATCCTTTTTGTATCAGAAGTAAATGCCATCAATCAGTTTTTTCCTCTTTCGTGCATAAGACTGCTAGAAAAGACATCTGTGCTTGCGCACCCACAAGAGGAAAGAAAAAAATCATCAATGGGTATGTTGACTATTAAAAAAGAGAAAACTGTGGTTTTATTGCGAAAATTTGTGAATTAATCTTTTGTATTTCATTCTTTGCATTTTTTCCGGAATTCATTCATTTTATCCCTTAAAGGCCGACGTACACTTCGCGCTTTCCTTCTTCCGATTCCTCCTCTCCCCTTTCTACCCTGCCCAGCACTGCCTGCTTCCTCCTCCCCCATGGGGAGGAGGATCTTCTGCCTTGCAGAATCTCCAGTCTGGTAGTCGGCCTTTAACCAATTTTTAGTCGCGGTCAGACAAAAGGTTTGCAGCAGTACTTTGATAATACCTGACAAAGTTGTCATACATAGCATACGTTTTTGGGTCAGTAAATCTTGGTGCAATCGTTTATGTATCAAAACTCTATCCGCAACTTAAAGAAGAAAAAAAAAAAAAAAAACGCCATTAAGCATTGGTAACCGCTACGGTTGCTTATGCCAGTCAATGATAGTGAGCAATGACCTGCGAGGGAGCCCTGCTACAACAGTCACATTTTGCAATGGCCACCAGAATTTGAGATGTAGCAAGCCAAAGAGATCCACTACATTTGATGGGTGAAACATCACCTACGTACCAAATTTAGCGGACAGTAATTCTGCGACTTGGTCAGTAGCGTGCAGCTCTAGCATTGCACAAGCGAAGTGCACCAGACTTGCAACATCGTTGTGCAACGTCACTATTGTAACATGTTCCGCACAGAGAACTGTTTGCGAGGCGATCTCGGTAGTAGCGCTAAAGTTGTCGGGCGTCCTGCTTCGAACATTAGTTTCTTCTTTTTTTTTTGCACATTGTACATGGTGCTGTCAGCTTTTCAGCGAGTGCTAAAATATATCTAATGAAAGTGAGCATATGAATCGTTTTTTAAAAGCAGTGCTTGGTTGGTTTTTATTAACACTTGAAGCAGGGCTGCCAACACGGAAAGTTACAATTTCCCGAGCGGACGCCTGCAGTTTCCCTATTTCTGCTTAAATTTCCATCGCTTGTTCAAATAATTATATAGGTAATACTAAATATTCATTGTTTTCTGCATCACTTCCATTTTTATCATGATAAATATGTTATATGCAGAGTGCAAGTTCGTCTGCTTCTTGAAAAGGGTTGCGATTATGTCAGAATGCCGAGCTCTTATTGGCCGATTGAAAAAAAATAGTGGCTATACCCCAACGCATCTAGCATTGAGATCTACCCACTTTCCTTTCAACCAAAGCCAATCAGAGCTCAGCGTCGTACTGACATCACGGCAACCCCTGCGCAAAAAGCAGACGACTTGCTCTACGCATAGCGAAATATACGCCTCGCGCACGTTTTGCAATAAATTAGTTTATCAGGCCAAAACCGTGGCCAAAACAAATCTGATGAGGGGAACTGTTACCGGGACATTCAAACTGACAAATGAAACCCTATTTTTGCCTTAGATGTTATGCACGTCATCAGGACATGATACTGCTTTAATAACTTTATTAGCACTTTTTATAATAGTCATTCCATTACAAAAGGTGTAAAACCCAAGCCAGAGTTCTCAAACTGAAACACACGGAACACAACGGCACTTCACGAAATATTATCAGTCATAGTAAGTCTCAATCTCCAGACACTTGAGTATTTCTTTTTGCACTCAAGTGTTTTTCTTTGGAGAAGGCACAGCGGTGCTCTCAGAATCTTCGACTTGGCTGGTACCTTCCTCCACTGTTTTCAGGGGGCTATTAAAACTGATTTCGCCGAAAAACGTTAGATGGATGGATGGATGCTAACGGCTGTACCCTTTATAATAAGTGGTGTCTTGCGCCAACTAGCCTAGTACTCCTCCGTGTTGCCAGATGGTCACACCACAAACCGCCAGACAGCTAAAGGAAATAACCCAAACGTAGCTAAAGCCGCTAAAATTCGTTGTTATCTCGAAAAAAAAAAAAAAAAAAATCATAATTGACCTATAAAATTCCGGATATATAGACCTTTTCTGCAAGTGCGCCGCCATCTTGAATTGACGTCACTTCCAGTATCGGCAGAAACATTGTTTTGCCTTTGCCACGTCAATAGAAGGCATTTAGGATATAAGCGTAACCGTCACACTTTCTCTTTTTGCCTCCCCTTTGTTTTTTTACTATTTGCAGGTTGAAACGTTGGATTATTTTTTCGTCGCCCATACCGGATACGCCTATTAGGTGGCTGGGGACGAGAGTACACAGAAAAGGTCTATACAGTGCCCAAAATTTCCCTTAAACTAGCAAGATTTTTTTATTCCAGCATAGACCCGAATATTAGCTTAATCTGGGAAATCTCCCTTGGGTTGGCAGCCCTGACTTGAGGGTACATATACACAGAAGAAAAAATCATATAACAAACTATTGGCGGCGGGTGCGAACTACAGAGGGCGCTCCTCTAGCTATCATCATGATCGTTTGTGACGTCACAGGTAGGGCAGACTGGGACAGAGGGCGCAGGTGTTCGATTCCTCGGCTCTGTTTGGGCAACGCACAGCAAAGCCCGTTTCAAGCGTTGTGTTTATACTCGGAGAAGTGATATTTGTAATAGGACATTTTACCAAAGCTTGTAACCGTGGCATGCGTACTGGTGCTAACAAACACTTTTGGCGCTCAAGTGTCGAAGCGCTCGGATGGTGTTGCGCCTGTTCTCTACCCCAGTACAAAAAGCTGGATGATGAAAATAGAATATCCAGCGCTTTACCCCACTAAAACATCTACCACGGCAATAGGGTGTATTTTTTAAATTATTATTTGGACTAAATAGAACTGTGAAAGAAATGTCTCACCAAATTGAAAATAGGAAAGCGAAATTCGAGAACCTCTCGCATGTGTAGTAAACACTTCAGTGAAAGTGACCCTGTGTATCCTGTTGGTTGCAATGTGTTCTGTGGGTGCTGGTTTCCTACTAGTTACAAGTTGACTCCTTTTTTAATTTTGTAAACCAGTGAACAAACATTTCGTCAAGATAACTGGCAGGAAGAAGCAATGGCTGGTTTCTGGCAGTGTTTCAACAAAATCCCCGCTTATTCCCCCGGTCAACGCGAAATGTACGAGACCCCCTCGCGATCGAACTTTTAAATCTAGTAGATGACACTTCAGTGTCCCAAAAGATGAGGTATACACCTGTTATGAATTACCATCGTTTGTATGTTTAATTTTGCGGACCTAAATGCGCATAAAGTGTAATGCGCTTCTCAGCGAGCGATTTTACTGTTGTAAACAATTCTTAGTGAATATTGAATAGAACAAATTAATCAGTTTCCTGAATTTGCTGGACCATGGGGCCGACAATTTAATGATTTACAAAAATTTCTGCTTTTCCGTTTATCAGTAGTCGCGATGTGACAAACTTCTTTGCCGTGTATTTGATGCGGGAGGAGCTAAGCGTCAGTTGCTGACGAGCATTTTCTCATCAGCAACTCTCGAGTCGCACTTGGATAGAAGCATCGGTATCAGCAAGCTCAAGGTAGCTAAAACAAATGTGCGGCACTTTGCAACACATCTGTGCGTGCATGCACAGCCAAGACAGTGTCATTTACTCTGGTGAATGCAAAAACCTTTTTCTAAAGCAGCCTCCACAAATCCGGAAAAAAAGAAAAAAAGAAAAAAAAAAAAGCAAGGATTAAAGAGGCTATGAAGAGCCTTGATGCACGCAGCACAAGCTGTAATGTGAAGCTCCAAGCTAGTTCTGAACATTTTAAAGTTTTTTTTTCTTTATAATAAAAAGCAACTTTGAGGAACTGTGTCATACACGTTTCTTTCATAAATAAGCCGTTTTTAATCGGCATATATGCAAACTAACATAGCCACTCCGTGCTTTGACATAGCGTGTTGTCTGCTCGCATCCTACCAGCTCCGTCACAGAAGGGCGCCCAGGAGAGTGCCCGCGAGGTGGCGCCACCCAGAGTAGTTTATTGGGAGAGTTTGGCCATACATTGGTTTGAATAGGCGAGCATCTCAAGGCCAACCACAGGCCTCGAAACAGCCCCTAGCGGTGGTCAAGAGCTCTAAATATGCGACACGACTAATTTAAGCAGTTTTAGCGTTGCTAGAGAGACAAGGTATAACTCTCGGTGACTGAAAACTTGGCGCATCTGAGGTTTTCATTACGTCCATATTCAACGGCAGAATGAACGAACGTGCGCTCCAAACCAGGGCCGACTTGCTTGAAACATTGTCTCAGCTGAGACTGGGGGAAAGAAAGCACTGCCAAAGCCAGCGCACGAGCTGAGTGGGACTCAATCCACGTCTCGAGATGCTCACGCGCTCCAGCCTTTACACTGTTTTCTTTCAGCCAGTCTCAGCTGAGCCGCTGTTCTACCAAGCCGGTCCAGGGCAAACTGTCACCGAGACGCCGAGATTGAAAGCTTCTATTTCACGCTTTAAATGTTGTTTGCAATATTGTGACGTCGCGGTCTGCTGATTGGTTGGCGCTGTGTCATCCTTTTAGTTTACGCTCTAACCGCGGGGGCAGTATTCGGCACTGGCGGCGGCCTTTGCTCCACCCATTGGCCAAACCCTCCCAATAAGCGGCTCTGGGTGCCACCAAAACATCTCGTCGCAAATACATCATTACAAATACAGGGGTTCAATTAAAAACTGAACATCAGCAAAACCACGTCTCACAAATGTGCAACAAAGGTTGAAAAAAAATGTTTTTTTTCTTTTGCATGTGTTCTTTAATGAAGCGTCAGGTCCCGTTTTCATGGGAATGTGCATAGTTGCACAATCAGTACTAAGCAAATGGAAGAGAACCGAGAAAATGTTTACTTGCTAAAAACATTATTTTAGAAAAATTAAACATGCTACGAAAATGACACTTTCCATAGAGTACAATTTTAAGCTTTCTGTGGTTACATCTGTCAATACATTTAATTCGCATTTGTGTGTGTACGGGCCATTTTTTTCATATTACTGAATTTGGCATGTTTCAGTTAGCAACATTTGTCCATTACTTAAAAACTGGAAAGAAAGGCACTTGTGATTTCATTGAAGAACTGCAGAAAAATGTGCTTTCTTTTACATTGAACTGAATAGCAGCAGAGCTTTTCAGAACTCTGCCTCGCCACCCCTCTCCTCCTCCTCCGATGTCCCATTTTCTACGCTGAAGGTAATGGTCACCCTACTCTTGACTGCCTCAAGAACTGAGGCTGTAAGACGCGGTTCAATGGCTATGTTAAATAGCCAGAAATTAAAGGAGCTGTGCAACAATCTTAACATTAAAATTATTGGCATCTTCTACTTTTGACATTGTTTACCTTGTCACAAAGAACAGAAAACACATCTCCTTCCTTCTAAATGTTGTAATTCCGCCACGTAATTGTGTGGCAAAAATGAGAATATTCCCGACCTGCAGCCGCGAGCGGCAGCGGCATGACGTCAATGGGGGTCTTGTAGAAAGATAGCAAGTTGTGTGAATACCTGCTCAATAAAAGGAAACTTTTTTATAAATCTTGTCATTCCAACAAAAATATAAATGCGTCAAAATCCTGGTATCCCTCTGCCAAGCTGCACACTCCTGACCTCGTCACACGAAGCTGACGACATCACTTTCATATTCCTTTTTCATGGCAGTCACTTTTCTGCGTCAGTATTTACCTACATGGCCAGCCCTATAACATATATGAGCAGTTGTTTTTTTCGAAACGAGCTAAATCCCAAAACCGAACCTAAGCCGATTTCGGCTGAAATTCGAAGTATATCTAGGGTTCATCGTTTCAAAAAGGTGTTATTATGAAATTGGTTATATTATGCGAGAAAAAACAATGTAAGGTTGGCCGTGGAATAGGGTTCAAAGCTAGTCCGATGAGCACACATTTTTTTGTTTATCTCAGTTTCGCTTCAAATAGATTTAGCTTATTATGAAAAAAAAAAAAAATCCTTATATGTTAAAGTATAAAACCCAAAAATGTCCATTCCTGATTATAAAGTAAGGCAGAGTCGATACCTTTGACAGCTGTCGACAGCTGATAGGCCTTCAGTGACTGTCACTACTGGCATGTTCTCGATCCAGGCAGTCTTGTAGGCCACAACATGAGGATGTGAAAGCTGGGCAAGGAGCTCAACCTCTCTGAGTATCTGAAAGGGTAGTTCAGTAACAATGGCACTGGCACTGGGAAACACATAGGAGTGAAGTGCAGTCAATCAGTGAGCATACCTGTTTCAGCAGCTTGTGATCATAATACTTGAACGGAATCTTCTTGATGGCATAAACATATCCATCCATTCGTTTCTTTGCCTAATAAGAAAACAGAGAGGAGAAAGTTAATGATTCAGCTTCACTGAAGGATGACTTAAAATTTAAAAGGATGCAAATAAAATTAAGAAAAACACACAGGGTGTTTTTTTTTTTTAAAGCTTTACAGTTTTGTATTGTGAAAGCTATACTAATAAGGACTGTGTAGGTGAGTTATATGGCCAGGGGGACATAATATAAGAGGCTAATAGTTACAATAAGGCAAATAATTTTGTTAATGAACTTTTTAATAAGTGAAAATAAACCTATGGTTCCCATTGGACCAGTACTCAGTTGAAATATCAACTTAGTACTGGTTTACCGAAGAGCGCACAATATCTTGCGGCTACCCCTGGAATTATGGCCATGAGGATGAACAAACAAACAAATATTTACAATAAATTGTAAATATGTCATCTTTTGGGTTCCCCTTTTGCTTAGCAGTGGCAGTGACCCACCTTAGTTTTGGAATTTGCAGCTGCCGGGTGGACTGCATTGCATATGCTGCGACGGAAAAGTCGTACAGTACAGGATAACCTATTTACCAGCGGCAATTTGCACAAAGGCAGAGTAGGCAGTACTGACAATGCTGTTTGCCACTGTTCAGATATGCAAAGAGACCACGAGGCATTCTGCGCATTCACTAATGCACTTGCTCTCATAACAATAGCTCTGGGGGTGGCCATAAAGTGCTGTGTTCTGACTGGCTGATGCTAGCTTGATTTTACTGACATCTTCATCACCTATGACTTCTCAGATTTCCATCGCTGTGAACAGGGAAGGTCATTTCAAAACTGCAGCAAAGGATCCCAGATCCAGTAAGTTCGTAGGTTTGCCCCCAAAGGAATTATTTTAGACTTCCCGGTTGCAAAATACACTGAAACCAACTTTTGCACTTCATCAATTACCTTGCACACAATTCCAAAGCCACCTTGAGCAATCTCTTCGATTTCTTCAAAATCATATAAGTAGCGCCCTTGTCGACCGTCAACCTCATCGAAACCATGGATAGCAAAGTCCTGTCTCGGTCTGCAAGGGTGGGCAACACGTGATGATCGACAATAATGCAGTGCACATTCTACCAACTTGACAGCTTTGGCATTAAACAGAGGGTCTAGCCAGTATGCCGACTTACCCAGGAATGGGCACCAAGCTATCGTCAGGCTAAAACAGAAAGGGAATGGACAGGATTGGCATGTGGCGATTACAGATACCTTTTGAAATGCAAACTTCTCCATACCTGGTACTTACCAAACTCCTCAAGTTTCTCTTCACATCACCAACAAGTGCTCCAAAAGCCCGACGAAACCTAAGTCGGATGGAGGATACTTCTTGAAGATCAGGAGTATGATCCAGTAACTGAAAATGAGACTCTTGGCATTAGCTCTCACACCTCCCCCCATTGTAGACAATAAAATAATACCGAAAAGTGATGATAGGTTTAACGAACCTGAAGCTGACTCAAACGGCGGCGTAATGCTGTGAACAGATATGCTCATGTTAGTAGCAAGCAAATCAATCGGCTGACACACAATGTCAAAGGAAAGTAAGTAATTCAATACTCATTATCACCCCCCCCCCCCCCCTAAAAAGAAAAAAAGAAAGAAAAAAGAAGCAGGTTTGCATTCTGCACAAAGTTGTTCTTACAGGATTTGGTTTCAGAGAAAAGAAAACGCTGCTTTTGCATTTGGAATGCGCACATTTTGTTAAAACAACAAAGAACTGGCCTAAATGTACATACAAGTATCTTAATTCAACACAGAAGGGATAAAGTCAATAATACTCTGTGGGGAGCCAAACTTAATTGTTTACTATGGCTATTGAGGTAAAAATGAGTACAGTATAAAATTCAGTCCTTACCTAAGAACAGTTCCTTTCTTATACTGGCATCATTCTCATAAAATATGCAGAGTTGCTCTAGCAAGGACTCTAGCAACAAGTACAATGGAACATTTGCTCTTGGTCGTGGAATCAGTGGGTCAGCAGGTTGTAGCCCTGTGAAGTATGACAAACACACACACAGCGTAAGTAAGGTAACCGCCACACGAGGTTGTGCTGCAATGAAGATCTGACTGCTACGCTAGATTTTCCTAGTTCATGTTTGCGCTACTTCTAGACTCCCTTCAGTTGTGTTCCGAACAGAGTAACATTAGCATTGCAAAATAAATAATGCAGTGTCCAGAGTGGCATACGATGGCACTTTATGCCTGCATTTGAGTGCCGTCCTACCATGCCCCTACCGAGAAAATCACATTCTTTAGTGAAGAATGTCTTGCTTTTGGCACTTTGTGACCGAAATTAGTATGCCTACTTTTGCTGTACCTTCTGTGTGTTAAATTTGCTAATTATGAGTTTACCCAAACAGTAGCATCACTAGGGGGGGAAGGTGTTGCGTCAGGCCACCGCCCCGGGTGCCACTGTACTTAGATTCCATAAAACTTTCTTTATAATAAATAATATCTGAAAACCAAAGAATGATATCCCTGGCTCGTTTGAAACACGTTGTGATTAGAATGTCTGGCTAGAAGTCTATGGTCTCACAACTATTTAGGTCAGAATACTTTAAAGGATAAAACATTGACATAAGGGATAAAACATAGAACATCGACATCGACTTGAAAGGACAAAATATCGAGGACGGGGACGTCCGTCCCCGTCCTCAATGTTTTATTTTTTCAAGTATTCGTATCTATTCACCAACACGCTCATTTTCAATTTTATATTTAGGTCATTGTTACTAGATTACCTCAGATGTGGAACTCCCGCAGAAAGGGGTACTCCCCCTCACTCACTTCAGTCTGCCTCCCATTGTTTGAAGTGCCACCTAGATTTTTGTTTCAAAACTGTGTGTTCCATAAAGTATGGTGGAACGCCATCTAGACACTGTGCTTCAAAACATACTCATTCCATAGAATACACTGCAGTTACGATAGCAGCCATCCGGCACGTCAAATGACAAGAGGCAAGCCGTGGTGAGAACGCGGGGGTACTGCTCGTGCACGCAGAGTATATGAGCAGTTCCGCAAGTGAGCTTATCTAATAACATTGATTTAAGTTCAATATTGCACGCCTTAAATTTTTTTTTTTTTACTTTTTTTGTAGATGCTGTTGCTGTTACTGGAGAATGTGAGATTGCAACTCACATTTATTTTCAATCACAACCTTTGCGAGCAAGCCACTTTAGCAAACTAAAGAGCTTGCATGCCTGCACAGCGCAGGCAATGTAAAAGTGTAATTGGTTTAGTTACAGTATTTTTCTTCAACGGTGAACAATGTTAAACTTCGCTATAGTTAAGGCCCAAACCCCTGTTCCACAGCAGGTGTGTAACAACGAGCGACAATTTTATACAAAATAACAATCGAAGGGAATGTAGAGTGTGTTCAAGGTTCGCCAGCATCCCAGGCGCACTTATATATTGTTATACGCATGCCAGTCCTGTCACTATATGAAAATGACCCCGTCATGCATCTTTACGAGCAGTTAAAACATTCAAAATGTAAAGTATAAAGTATGTGGGCTATGGAATGTGTTTCTTTTCATTATTTCCAATGCTGGGCATATGTTTTCGGGCATTTGTTCTCTGGCGTCTCCCTATTTTCAAAGAGTTTGAGCGCGGTGATGTATTGAACGCAGAACAGGCATTTTCGCATATATTCATGAGCAGAAAGAATAAAGCAGTATTTATTTATTGCAAATCAGACTGTATTACGTGGCCTTCAATTTATTTTGATCATCTACATGCACAGGAAGTTACTGATCCAGTGTCACTGCATAGTTCTTGCCACCTTTCTTGGTTTTCCAGATGCCCTTCGTTTGTTTGGCATGCACATCCCCCATGCTGAAAAGCGCTGATGCCGAGTTCGCGCTAAGTGTCCGAGAGTGTGCATAAATGCATGTACGAAGCTGTTTTAGCACTGTTTAATGCCATGAATTAAAAAAAAAAAGCAGTAACTTATTAATATTTTTGTTGCGTGACTGAGCAATGTTCCAAGCTATCCAGTACGTACAAATTATTCGTGATATTTGCTCTTACATTCGAGTGCAGGGAGAAAATGCACTCGCTTTTACCCTTAGATGTGCATTACCGGAAGTCAACTTTCGACTGGTTGCTGTCTGCTTCAATCTGCAACAGCACACTAGTGCCAGTTGAACCTCTAGCATACATTATAATAACTCTATCACCGCTGCACCTCCTCTCCAAGGCTATGAGTGTCATGTGGCCACATGACACTTACGTGGCCCTCGATTGGCTCCGATGGCTCGTAGCATACTGTGCTTGGACGTAGGGTAAACCGGACAGACAAGCGAATAAACAAATTCGGCAGAGACATTTAAGAGTGCTTATGTGTGGGAATGCGAAAGCATGACACATGCACAAGGCAGAGCTTTAGTCAGGTGGAACCGTGGAGCCGCCGTGGTGTCTGGGAAGCGTGCTCGTCTCACACCCCAGGACCGGTTTGCTCATCTTGCGGCTGCGGCCGCGGCCAAGAGGGATTTTTACGTCACGTGACCAGCTTCATGGGGACAAGGAAGTACCTAGCATCCCTGCCTAATGGCGGAGAGATCCGCATCGCTTCAAGCACAAAAGCCTAATGTCGCTCGCAGAAACTGATTGCAGGGACTTTCAACTGGAGTCCAATTGACGGCCCCTTTATACTGTAGGAGCGGCAGGTAAAGTTACAGCCAGGGAGGGTAAATAGGAGCCAAAATAAAGAAAAAATCACGCGAGATAAAAGCAGTAGTAGTATATTCATATACCTCTGCCGGCGCCTCGCGCTTTCTGCTATGGTCGAGAGGTTAAAGCGCCGGTACTTGTCGTCGCGGCCGTGAAAGTTCCGGGTTCAAATTGCGCTAGGGACTTCTTTTTTTTTTTTTTTTTTTTTGTATTTTGCGCGTGTCTTACTTTTTAACTGTGATCCTTTTTAGGAAATCATCCACTTGCACTATTGCGCCTTACACGGTTTTTACTGTTAGTACCACCTGTTCAATCGGAACACCGGGAAGAAAAAAAAAGATCAACGCAAGTTAACGCGCTAATACAATCATTTCATAATGTTCATTAAAAGGAAACCAAGGTAACAGTATCGGTATGGCTTTCACACAAACGGAGCCGAAACAAACATCCTTTCACCAGCATATACAGTTTTATCTGTTTTTAAATAACGCTGTTGCTTCGATTCCTTTCAATAACAAGAGACGCCTATTTAGGACTAATAAAAAATGCAGTTGTGACAATTAAAAAAAAAAAACAAAAAAAAAAAAAGCAAAAAGAAAAAAAAAGACTAGCAACTGTGATTACATTGATTGAGCGAAACCCTACAGGCAAGGCAGCAAGTCAAACGTCTGAGAAAGTAGTAAAACCGAAATAAAAGAGATCATACTTTTACTTGCATGGAATGTGATAAAAAGTATATTTATGCTCTTTACATTTTGTTGTGGCAATCGTTTTGTAATATTAAGACATTACTTGTTGAATTTTAGTTAGATTAGCAGACGATCACAACCGAATGCAAAAATGAATCAGGCATCGACCATCGCAAACCCTCTCTCTAATGCAAACACCTAACATGATTTTGGAAAAACAAATGAAATTCATTATAATTAATTCTATTTCTTGATTAAAAGTCATTTTAGGTCCCTCTCTCTAATGCAAACACCTAAAATGACTTTGGATCAACAAATAGAATTACTTATAATTAATTCCATTTATGATCCAAAGTCATTTTAGGTCCCTCTCTCTAATGCAAACACCTAAAATGACTTTGGATCAACAAATGGAATTAATTATAATTAATTTCATTTCTTGATCCAAAGTCATTTTAGGTCCCTCTCTCTAATGCAAACACCTAAAATGACTTTGGATCAACATGTGGAATTAATTATAATTCCATTTCTTGATCCAAAGTCATTTTAGGTGTTTGCATTAAAGAGAGGGTTTGCGATGTCGACGCCCGATTCATTTTTGCATTCGGTCGTGATCGTCTGCTATTCTAACTAAAATTCAACAAGTAACGTGTTAATATTACAATACGATTGCCACAACAAAATTTAAAGAGTATAAATATACCTTTTATCACATTCCATGCAAGTAAAAGTATGATCTCTTTTATTTCGGTTTTACTACTTTCTCAGACGTTTGACTTGCTGCCTTGCCTGTTGGATTTCGCTCAATCAATGTATCCACAGCTGCTAGTCTTTTTTTTTTTCTTTTTGCTTGTTTTTTGGAGTTTTTTTTTTTTTAATTGTCACAACTGCAGTTTTTATTAGTCCTAAATAGGCGTCCCTTGTTATTGAAAGGAATCGTAGCAAGAGCGTTATTTAAAAACAGATAAAATTGTAGTTGCTGGGGAAAGGATGCTTGTTTCGGCTCCGTTTGTGTGAAAGCCATACTGATGCTGTTGCCTTGGTTTCCTTTTAATAAACATTATGAAATGATTGTATTAGCGCGTTAACTTGCGTTGATCTTTTTTTTTTCTTCCCGGTGTTTCGATTGAACAGGTGGGACTAACAGTAAAAACCGTGTAAGGCGCAATAGTGCAAGTGGATGGTTTCCTAAAAAGGATCACAGTTAAAAAGTAAGACACGTGCAAAATACAAAAAAAAAAAAGGAAGTCCCTAGCGCGATTTGAACCCGGAACTTTCACGCTGCGACGACAAGTACCGGCGCTTTAACCTCTCGACCATAGCAGAAAGTGCGAAGCGCCGGCGCCGGTATATAAATATACTACTACCGCTTTTATCTCCTGTGGTTTTTTTCTTTATTTTGGCTCCTATTTACCCTCCCTGGCCGTAACTTTACCTGCCGCTCCTACAGTATAAAGGGGCCGTCAATTGGACTCCAGTTGAAATTCCCTGCAATCAGTTTCTGCGAGCGACATTAGGCTTTTGTGCTTGAAGCGATGCGGATCTCTCTGCCATTAGGCAGGAACGCTAGGTACTTCCTTGTCCCCACAGAGCTGGTCACGTGACGTAAAAATCCTTCTTGGCCGCGGCCGCAAGATGAGCAAACCGGCCCAGAGGTCCTGGTTCGATTCCCACCCAGACCGAAATGTATAAAATTTTCTTTTCAAAGCCATTAATTTCCTTTGTTTACAGGAACCTCCCTGAGAAATGTTTTGCAGCCAATGGGAATTTAGGTGCCTTTTCGCTGCTACAGACAACGCCCACTCAATGGTAATTTAGTTGCCATTTTCGCCAGCTTCGCTCTATGAGACAGTTAATACTTTCACATTATTAAATAAGACTATGCGGAGCGCAAGTTTGTCTGCTTCTTGTACAGGGATTGTGATCACTGATCTCTATGTCAATTGCTGGATCGCGCTTCTCCGCTTGGTCGCTGCAGCACGAGTGCGGCCACCGGACGGCCATCTTGCATGCGGCAAAATCGCTTTTTTGCTAGCGTTTCAGAGGCTGGCAGCAGCGTGCTGAAGACACGTTTTCTACTCGATCATTGTCATTCGTTGAAGAAGTTTTTTTAAAACCCTATGTAAGCGGTGATACTTAGCCTTGAGAACACGTGGAAATTTTTACGAAAGCGCAGTGCCGCAGAAAAAAGGCACAACTTGTCGAAAGCATGTTTCGCCAATCTTGCGGCGGGATCAAAGCTTCTTTCGCACGCCGCAGTGCTGTGTCTCTGTGCCTTCGAACGCTTGAATGCCAATCACAAATCGACGCCGTGTGAATGTGTTTTGCGAGTGCAATGTGCATAAAGCCGCATGTGCCTCTGGAGCAGCATTTTACTTTACTCTAACGAATGTATTTGTAACTTGCGGCACTCACAGTCCAGAAATGAGCTTGATCGAGTGTCCAGTGGCGAGGCCTCTTCAAAGTGGTCAGAGCAAACAACACTTTCTTTGGATGGCTGCCAATTTTGTCTTCGGATGTTGTGCACTCATTGTTTATAAATTTCTCTCCGACTTTGTGGAAACCTTGATCCGAAACAAGTATTGTTACAGGTCGCACTCCAGTGAGATGTTCTTCCCAAAGCAATATGTGATACTTACCAATGATACATCTTTTTTTTTTTTTTTTTTTTTAACGTTAGACGGTTCACAGAATACAAATGCTCCTCATGACTGATCAGTGGTCTGGATCACTTGACATGAAATTTGAGCACAGCTCGCCTAATTGTGATTGGTCAACGGATTGCACACGACCATATGGGCCGCGCTTCAAAGATTTTCAACCTCACCGTCTTGTACTTTTGCCTTCAAAAACCGTCCTTGCTCCACAGCGTTGCTTTATTTGTGCTGCCATGTGATCCATTAGAGTAGATTTGGAACATAGCTATGATGCTCAGAAACACTTCCTTCGATTTCTTTATTCTCAAAGATCTAACTGACTGACATAGCCATGGTTAATAGTGCATAAGAAGAACTGTACAGGTTTCCCTCCTCCTCCTCCTCCCCCCTTTATTGATAGCAACTCGCTGCAACAGCTGGACGATCTAGAACTCCGTGGCCACTGTATATATGATCTAAAGACAGCTATGCGCGACACACCTTCAAAACTTCGGCGCTGCCTCGATTCTCGATCGGTATACAAGCGTGCAAAGGCAGAGACGCAGCATTCGGCGTGCCAAGGAAGCTTTGATCATGCCGCGAGACCGGCAAAATTTGCTTTCGACGAGTTGTGCAATTATGTACGGCTTCATGCACATTGCACTCGCAAAACACATCCACACGGCGACGATTCTTGATCGTTATCCATGTGTTCAAAGGCACAGAGACACAGCACTTTGGCGTGCCAAGGAAGCTTTGATCACTTCCCAAGACCAGTGAAGCTTGCTTTCGACGAGTTGTGCCTTTTTCTCGCGGCACAGCACTTTTGTAAAAATGTCCATGTGCTCTCAACGGCAAGACTCAGCACTTACACCTTCGCCTCTACACCTGCGCAAGAAGCAGACGCATGCTCACCGCATTCGAGCCTCGCTCAAGAAACGTTCTCGAATTTTCTGTAGTCGCGCTTCGCTTTCAAGCGCTACAAGTCTAAGGCACAACAGAGAGGATCTCATGACCCAAAATAAGGCATGTATGGAAAATACAGTGCTGTGCTCACCTAACTCTGGAACATCGAGCGTCGAACAGGGGCGCGGAGACAGCTTCGGAATAGCGTTCATAGTTCGTCCACTTGTTTGGGAGAGGCAGCGAGACAGTTCATCGAGCTGAAAGCTGCATTTAGAGTTTGAACATCAGATAGGCATGGTGTTGCTCTGTAACGGATTCAAGAATATGACACGCCAATATTACTCAAATTTGAGCACAATACAATCGCGCAAATCTAGCAAACTCAAACACGCGCGAAGGCAAGTCCAAGGAACGGACAGTGAGCGAATGAAGAAACTTTTCCGCCACAATTAAACAAGGGGTCAGGGTGGCGCTAACTTTCAGCTTTTAGTCCCAATATAAAAGATTGTAAACACCCTAAGTCAATTTATAATAATCGACTATAATTCAAGAACAAAACGTATAAATCTTAAAAAAGCAAAAAAAAAAAAAAAGTAGAAAAAGTTGCGGATGGATGGATAGATGAATACGGCTGAGCCCTTTGGATCGGGCGGTAGCTTACGCCACCTAGCCATTTTGTTTTACCATTTAAGCTTAGAATATTTAAATGTGAAATCTATATTCACTCCGCAGTGCAAAGAAAGTGAGGCTATGACACCCCCTTGCCATCAGTGAATAAGAAAATAACTGGTTTTCTCTCGATTTCTGCCACCATTCACTGAATCTTTGCTTGGTAATCTCTACAGTCTTGAAATCCACTCTCCCTTCGCTGCCTCTAAAACCCAATGACTTTATTAAATCTATGTTGTCTTCGGTAGGCATAGGGTGAAGCCCTTTACAGTAGAGTATCAAGTGCTCAGCCGTCTCGTCCTCCTCTCCACAAGCAGTGCACAATGTATCCATTTCCTGGTACTTCACTCTGTATGTTCTGGTTTGCAGAACACCCGTCCTCGCCTCAAACAACAATGAGCTTCCCCTAGAATTGCCATAAATGCTTTCTTTGGCAATAACTGTTTTGTTCAATCTATAGCTTTCCAGAGCCGTCTTTGTCTGTATTCCCTCTAGCCACCGATCTCTTTCTGTGGCCTTAACTTTCTTCTTAACTGAGACTTGCTCTTCCGTATCTTCGCTATAGCCCAAAAACTTTCCTCTTAATTTCCTAGTGCGCTGTCTCCACTTTGTGTCTACACTCCTCATGTATAAATAGCTGAAAACCTTTCGTGCCCATTGCTCCCCATTCATTTGCCTCAACCTATCCTCAAATTCTATCTTGCTCACCGCTTCCCTGCTTTCAAATGTCGCCCATCCCATGTCTCCTTGTACTCCCTGGTTTGGCGTTTTGCAATATGCCCCCAAAGCCAGTCTACCTACTCCGCGCTGTTTTATTTCTAGTCTCTCATGCACTTCGGATTTCGTGCATAGCACTGCGTTTCCAAAAGTCAAGCCCAGGCACCATGACCCCCTTTCCAAATCTCTCTCACCACCTCATACCTGTTGTAATTCCAAAGTGCTCTATTTTTCATTACAGCTGCATTTCTGTTGCCCTTACCTATTATATACTTTTCATGCTCACTTAGATATTCTGCACCATCGCATATCCATACTCCTAGATACTTGTATTTACTAGCTCTCTCAACTGTAATATTCTGTATCTTCAGCAGAGTGTCGAACCAAAATTTTTATCGGTTCGGTTCCAGTTCGGGTTCACGGCTTTCGGTTCGGTTCCGGTTCAGTTCTGAGGAGCAAAAAAGAACGGTTCAAACCGGTTCGAACCGGTTCGAACCGGTTTGAACCGCTAAATTGAGAATATATTTTCCGCGTTGTTCTGCCCATATACACTATTTACACCCGTGAAACGATTAACTATATAGTTTCTTCGATCGTCCGTGCAATTTACTTTTGTTTTTAGGTACCAAAATATGAAATTCAGTTTTAATTTTGACGCAAGGGTAAAAGAAAATCTTCTTTATGTACATAACGTCGTGTTCATGCGACTCAACATCCCTTTGTTTACCAGTAACATATATTTTACCTGATTCAAAATGTTTAAGTACAAGAGTGAAGAGTTGAGCTTGTTGGTACATACCTGTAAATAGATCAGCTTGAAATTTAGAACTATACTTTATTTTCTTGTCCTTTCTTCGTGTTTAAGTAAAATTCTTAAGTTCAAGCTGATTTATTTACACGATATGAAATATTGTCGCGAATTGTGGTAGGTCGCCCAAAATACCCGTGATTGGTACAACTTTTGTCGCAGTATTAAAAGTAAAATCGTGATTTTGTCTTTGAACCATGAATTGATTACATCACATAAAATTATGAAAGGAGTGTCTTGTGGCCATATATATCACAAAATATGGTTTACGAAATATGCTTCACAATATATATGTATACGATGACGACACTACTGAGCTTTAAGCAATGGAATTTTCAAGATGTCACAAAAGTTTTAGGATAATTCCTTTCAGTCTATTTTTTATAGAAACACCGAGCGGCAATCAAAATGCTTGTTGTTCTAACCAAACATTGTTTACACTCCGCACCGCATGTATGCGACAAATCATGCAGCAAGGTGTAATCACAATTGTTCACTCTAATCTATACACACCTTCACACTCAGATCGAATCTCGCCCAAAATAACGCTTACCCAAGTGAACATTTTCTTATACAGGAGAAGCTGGCATAGCCTGGCTGTTGAGGTTTGTTCTTGACCAAATGCCGGTCAACTTAATTTGCAAATGAGCATCACCCTTGCTAATTGATGATTTTAACGCGATAGCGTTAAGGAGCTCATGTCGCAGAAAAGCCGAAGTCGGTGGCGTGACTGGAAAATCTTGATTGGTCGATAAGGTGATGACGTCAAAACTACATGCCCTTGCGCAAGTCTTTTTAACAACCCACAATGGTCACGTGAAACGTGACATCACGCGTGGAGTGAAAGTGATTAAAACATGACATGTAATGCGAATTAAAGGTCGACGTATGCTTTGCCTTAAAGAAAACGATTCAGAATTTTAGGCGGGATTTGAACCCACGACCCTTCGGTTGCGAGTCAGACGCTTTTGACTAGGCCACGCGAGGCACACTTGCATGGCAAATGAGAATGCGATGCAAACGAGGCCCGTTAAAGCTATCGCGTTCCACTTTTAAAGGCGAAACTTAAGCGTCCTCCAAGATTCTTTTTTGTTAAGTAAACCGAAGTAGTATTTCACGTTCTACTCGACATGGCAGCTAATTAATTGGGCACTTTCTGACGGTTTGCGTGCGTAATCGTCATACTTCCGAAGCGCGCCGTTGTTCACTTTGTTTTTGTCCAGCCCACAGACACATAAAAGTAATGTTTACCACATACAAGAGGCACTAAAAGACTTTTATATGTTTGAGAAGTTATATGTGTGAGGAACACAAAGTTATTTAAATTAGCTTCAAAATTAGAAATGTGTGTAAGGCTGTCCCATATCACTTACAGCGAGCCTGTAGAGGATAAAAACGCCAAAAAAGATTGGCAGTACACCTTTCAGACAATTTGGGGGGCATTGCTTTAGGGTGGTCGGCCCTATTTATGTTGTCAAATATTCAGTTAGTTATTAAATATATTTTTATAACGATCAATAAATTTTACTGTAAAAAGTTCACATAACCGCTTGAGACCGCCGCGGAAGGACGATACTCGAAACTACGCGAGCTGTGGAGTGTGCGTAAAAGTGTTTTTCTGTTTGCTGATTGGCAGTGTGAAACATCGGGTTGCAGGGTACGCTAAAAACGGCTCTGTGCTCATATGATACATTGGAAGTCAAATACGTGAATTTAATAAAGAGAGAGATAATTAATGGTTATTTTTCTAAATAATCCCTCACAAAACACCTTACTGCAATAAGAGATACGTAAATATGCACGCAATGAAATTCATAAATTTACATGAATAGGGCGAAGGACAGACAAATATTCTTGAAATCTTACTATAAATCACATTTCATCAGCTTGCATGAGCTCGAAACTTCGCGAAATACTGCCCCGGGAGGCTAATGTTATATTCGATTTTACCTGCATTTGTTTCGGGCCCTCACATCACAACACTATGCTTGAATATTCATGCGCTCTAACCGTTCTCTAGGCTGTCATATATCATTGCGAGACTGCTATAAATACTGCACAACTTTACAATTAGGACATCTATTGCTAGTGTTACGAACATCAGATTTCACCAGAAAGCTGAACTTTTTAACATGGTATGCACGTGACGCCATCACACTATAGGCTGGTGGTCATTCTGATTTCTTCTTACTGAGAAACTCGAATTCGATGGTGCAAAATGCATGCTGCAGGAGGTTCAAGCTTAGTGAAAGCCTAGTATTTTAAAGGCACGTGTTATTATCCTGACTGCATCGTCGTGATGAACGGCACGAGCGTCTGGTACGACAAAAACGTGCTTTTTGGCCAGAGCGTTTTTGCACACAAAGTAGTTTCCGGGGTCACGCTTTTTGGTCTGCGCCAAAGATGCGGGGAAGAGAAACCTTTACAACAGAGTAAATTTTTCAAATTAACCCCCCGCCACACACACACGCGCACGCACACACACACACTTCTTTTTACTGAGGAGCTGTTAAGGGCTAGTTTCCCAGTATCGTGTCCGTCAGCAAACAAATGATGACACTAAACTCTGGACAACTACCGCCATCTATAAGTGACGACGGCAACCGGACAACCGGCTTGCCGGTTTTCTGGTTGCCGTCGTCGCGCATAGATGGCGGCAACCTCTCCAGCCTTTCCACCCTAGCTTGCCGACTTACGGCCGGCCATTACTTCATTCCCCCCATGGTATACAGCTACGCTGGTCTTCCTTCTTCACCAGAGTGGAAAGGTTGAAAGTATTCCTGAGGAATTGCCTCCTCCATTCGTCTATGCTAATTCGACAATTTTATTTGTCACTTGTTAACAGCAAACCTTCACTGCTTTTATTTTGCACCCCGTGAAGTTTAAAGTGGTCATAAAACGATATCGGGTTGGAATGTTCATGACGTTTTCGAGGCGTACTGGTCCTAGTCAGACCCAAGTATACTCGCACAGGCCGCCACTGATTCAGAAGCTTCTTTGTCGCGGTGAAATTGCGAGAATAAAATTAGACTATTTCTTTTAGTCTTGCCTTCGCAAAGATTGATGTCGTAATTGTGGGATCAAAACCACCCGCCTGACGACAGTCCAGCGCGGCTCATGGATTGGCCACGAGAACTGCGTGAGCACTGTTCATAGGCTCGTAACAATCAATGCCTCGGCGGACACTCAGCTAGTGAGTGGCTCCTGTCCAACCACT